ATAGTTTTTTTGAAGGATTGTTGGTTTTTTTTTTAGTGGTAGATATGATGAGAAAATAAAATTTGATTTCTAATCAATTAATTAAATTTTCTTTAAAATTAAGTTATTTATAATTATTAATTGTTACTTAATAGAATTAATTTTAAGTGAATAATGTTTATATAATTTTGTTATTTTTGAGCTTAATAACTTCTAATGTTTTTTATGTATGGTTAATTAATGAATTTATATTATTTTTAATATTGTTATTTTTGGTTTTAAATGATAGTAAGTGTTACAGTTTAATTATATATTTTTTTATTCAAGCAGTGTTTTCTTTTATTCTTTTTTTAACTGTTTATTGAAGTTATTTTTCTTTTTCTTTTATTCTTATAATAGTTAAATTAGGGTTAGCTCCTTTTCATTATTGGGTTGTTGTTATTACTGTTGAGATGACTTTTTTTATGAATTTTTATATTTTAATTTTTCAAAAGGTTATTAATTTTTGACTTTTGTGGTTATTATATTTATTTAATTCTTTTTATGTTTTTTTATTTGGGGTTTTTAGTATTTTGGTTTCTTTTGTTGGTTTACTTTTGGTATATGATCTGTGATTATTAATAGTTTATTCTTAGTAATACTGGTTTGATTTTGGTAAGAATATTTACTGTAAATTATTGATCTTTATTAATATTATATATAGTTGTTACTTTTGTTCTTATTATGTGTTTTTTTTTTACTAAAAGTGACGATTATTTTTATTTAGTAATAGTTTTGTTTATAGTTGTTCCACCTTTTTTTTATTCATATATAAGTATATAGTGGTAATTGGTTTATTTAGGGTTAAGATGGGTTTTTTTCTAATGTTTTTTGATGTTTTGTTGTCAGTATATTATTTCAGGTTTATTTTTATTTATGGTCTTAGTTATTTTAGGAAGTCTTTATTTCTACTTTTATTATTTTTTATATTTTTATCTTTGATTTTTAATAGTATTTATGTTTCGTTGACTTTATTCTACTAATCATAAGGATATTGGTACATTATATTTTATTATTGGTATTTGGGCTGGGATTTTAGGTGCTAGTTTAAGTTTAGTTATTCGTACTGCGTTAGAAGTTATTGGAGGTTTGATTTTAGATGAGCATTTATATAATGCAATGGTTACTGCTCATGCTTTTTTGATGATTTTTTTTTTATTATACCGGTTGCTGTTGGGGGATTTCGGAATTGATTACAAAAAAGTTACGATTCGCTCATATCTAACAATACATAATCCTCGTTTCTTTTACCAATGATATAGAATTACTTGTTATACTGGTCAATATTATATATATCTAAAAAACGATGGATATAAATCATGTATATACTTTTCACCTCTTCACACAACAATCTTCATTATGAAGATCATAATTCGTCTTTTCTATACGTGGACTGACTACACATCTTACATCAGATACTATAAACTTTATCTCTCTTTATGGTTCTTAGGTTTATTCACGACTCATACACAGTTACCATTGCTCTAAGTCAAGAAATGAATCTCTGCAGCTTTTATTGTAAAAGTCAGTTCTTTTTGTATGTAAAAACTCGAACATTTCAAACTTTTCCGATAGATGATTCCTTCTTTTTCAACATGACTTGCATCATTTTGTAATTAGGACGAATTGCAAGAAGACGAAATGTAATGTCTAACACTAATACACACAGATACCAAATAAGTAGGGTAACCGACATTGAGACAAGCACATAGTAGAGCAATGAACACTTATGATAAACATGCAATTTCAAATATTTTCATTTTTTTTCAAAATTTCTTCAAAGGTTTTGTTAAATAAAAAAAATTATTTTGCGTCTACATTGTTATTGAAATAAGATATATGCTTGAATATTTGTGCAAAAGTGTTTATATCGCTCTTTATATGCGGAATTGAATTAAGCATAAAATCATTCGGTTCTGTTTAAAAATATGGCATTCGATTTATTAGTTCAAGTTTTTGCAGCATAAATTGTTGATCAATGATTCTGGTGTCCGCTTTCACAGACTTTTCAGCTGGAACACGTCAGGCAATTATATTTGAACATTATCATTATTCTTAAAACAATATTAAATGTGTTAGATATCAGCTATAGTATACTGTGACTCAACAGAAAACAATTTACAACAGTCCTTTTCAGTTCCACAAAGCGCAATATCATTGCTTTTCTCAAAAATAATATATGTTAGGGACTCACTAACTTTTGAGATGAAAAGATCTATTTCATGTTAACACAAGTAACGTTCATCATTCCGAGTCGCTTGATCTTCGACTGAATACAATTTAATCATTAAAGGTTGAGTAGAACCAGTTAAGTTCTCTATTGAGACCTAAGTCTGAGTGAACATGTATATATAGAAAAATTGTACAATATTGACACTGACATCCATTTTCTACCGAGTTTTTCTAAATTTAAAAGTAAGAAGAAGCTCATAGTCAATCTTTCCCGTCCATATGGCTCGTCACTTCTGGGATGCTCGGTTTTGTGTACGATGTGAGAATAATTTAACGTAGTGATCCATGTTCTTCTTTAAAATATCCTTTCATGATTTCATGAAACTATGAAATATCCTTTTCAATTTTCATGAACTAACCTGATTAGTTACTAAAAGCGCTTGTTTGAATACTAGAAAAGCTTTTTTGCAAAATTCTTAGTGTCTCATGTAAAGATTAGCCCACACTAGAAGGCGATCTTTGGAGGGTGATGTGAAAGTCCATGTAGAAGATTATGGCTTTTTATTCTGCTGAAAGAGGATACTGGATTTCAACTTTAGGTGGTTTTTTGAGTCTGCAACTGTAAAATTATGATGGCCTTCTTAAACTGAAGATAACTTATCCGATCAAGATGAGTACGACGAAGATCTTTTCATGAACATAATCTGTTCAAAAAACATTGTTAAAGTGAGGACTAAGGACCTTGTGCAAAAACTACTTTTGACTTCCTTTCTCTCAAAATGGACAGAAAGTTGACTTTTTCAATTAGCCTCGTATCGTTACGCCCAGCTCACGAGATATTGCAGTCTTAGAGTCTTGAAGATGTTTTTCTACAAGATAGAAAATTTTTCGGCTACGTTAGGAGCAACCCATTTCGCCTCCCTCAAAGCTATTCATTTCTTACTTGGACAGATATCTATAACTAATATTGTATTGTTAATAACGTACAAGCAATCTGATTTAATTTTTCATTTCATCCAATTAGAATGTTGTTGAAGACGAGTATACGTTAAACATGTTCATCTTTTCTCTTTCAGTTAAATGACACTAATATTTCTTCTAAAATCAAGAAAACTATGTACGTAGTATTCCAAAAAATAGTTGAATGATAACTTGTTGATGATAAATTTATAACATGTAAATGTCCACTTACAGTAACGGCTAAATGATGGAATAGTTTTTTGAACACACACGATGACATTGATAGTGCTATATAAATTGTCTTGAGCGAGAGCTATAGTCCGAGGTAATATCATTCAGGTTGATCGACAATGTAGAGCACTGACAGAACATATACTTATTTGTTTCAAAAGTTATATCTATACTAGTGTAGACACGGAAATGAAAACGGCAGCGACGTTTCTAAGTTTTTATGCCTATTATTATCAGTATAGATATAACTTTTGAAACAAATAAGTATATGTTCTGTCAGTGCTCTACATTGTCGATCAACCTGAACTTCTAACACTAAAAACGGTAGCGATAGGAGAAAATTCAGCTTTTTATGTTTTGTCAAGGAGGGTGTCTCATATTACTCTTGAACCGAAAAAGATCAAAGAAAGCAGCGAAAAATGTGGTTTTGTTGTACTTGTCAATTGAGGAAGTCTTCATTATACTCAAATTATTTTTCAGTCAATTAATGCAAGAAAATAGGTAAATATATAGTGTGATAGAGAATTTCAAGCTCTATCAGAATACATAATTGCTTTTTTAAAAAGGTAATTCTATAGTGATGAAAAATTAAAAAACTAATTTTGATGACAGTGACCACAAAAATGCTTGACATCCTAGATGGTTATTCGCAACTTTCATGTCCATTTGAAAGTAAAAGGTGTCTTAGAAACTTTGCTTCGACCAGACAGTAAAGGCTATATTTTTCACCTTGAAATAAGTTTTTAGTTAACAATTCTATATATCTGCACGAAACAAAAAAAAAATTGCGTGGACGAGTAGATAAGAGATTATATAAAGGTAAATACTTTCCAAGAATCAAACAAATTCACACAGTCACATTCCTATTTTCAACTTTCAGAACAAGTAAACTAATAATACAATCCTTTTAGGACAGTCAAGAACCGGTACGTAGAAGGAAAGCCTTTGTATATGGATCGTACTACTACACGGCTTGGATTTATCTGTAACTGGATTAGCGGTTGCAAAAGGTATCTATTTAGTACAGACAGGACTTTCTCCTCTGTAAAGATCAACAGAGAATTTGGACTTAATTAACAATATGTGTGAGTGAACGACTAGAAGCTAAAAATATAATTCAAAATAGACAATGATTTTTGAGTGACGTCATGTAACAACGTTTTTCGGCTGAAAGAGGTTTCTTTTCACTTGTTCTCTCCTTTTGCCTTGATTAAGCGAAGAAACGAATGAGAGAACTTTGAAGAGATTTAGATTATGCACAACTTACCGCCTGGCTCTTGTATCATAGATAAATAGTTGCTAAAAGTTTTCCGTCTAGGGAAATAGTTGGTTGTAAAGTGTAGGAGTGTGTCGTGGCATTTTTCGACTGCACAGCAGCAAATGTTTTCTTTTCGCCAGTGAAAGTGATAGTCCGACTTGAGTGCAATTCTTTTTTCCACACCGGTCTGATCAGTGTTAAAAGTTTCAGAAGATTTAAAATGAGACGAAATCTTATTATATTCTTTAAGAAAGTCTTGTTTCGATTTTTCTACAGCATCACGATTTGCGACCTGACGATGCGAAACGAAGTTTGTAATTTTATGAGAGGCTAACCTATGGCGAGCTTTAAAATTTTCCAATCAACCATGAGAAGCACGAAATTCCTCAAGCTTAATTTCTCTGGCTATCCGTAAACCCCACCGTTGTATGTCCAAATCATGAACTGCCAGGCTTTTTTCTCGTGCATCAATTAACTTTTTGTAAAGTAGCTCGTTCAGATTTTGCGTTTTTTGTTTTTTAGTTCCATGATGCTCAAGATATTTTCGGAAATGCGGAATATAATGTCTGTTTGGGATTGTTCTAAAGCTATGATGACTTGCCTTCCAAGAACGACCATGTTTACTTCCAGGTCCCGCATGATCAACGAAATCAATTATTTGACGCATAAAATCCTCTGAAAAACTTTTTAAATCGTATTTTTCTAACAATAATTCTTTGTTCGTGCGGTCCTCGTCCACTTCTCCGTCTTCATGCTGCTCTTCTTCCTCACTATCTTCTTCGTCTGTAGATCCAGCAAAATCTATGATTGTTTCTTCGTCATAATCAACCTTCTGTCCGCTGACCATAAGTTTTACTATATCGGCAAGATATTCAGCCATTTGTCGCTCCTGTGACGTAATTGGAGACGGCTCTTTACTCGATAACTGACGAGAAACTAAATCACTCAAAGTTGAGACGATATTCTGTGCGTTCATTTTATCTTCACGTAAAATTATAAGAGATGGTTTAACTGAACGAATACTTCTCGCATTTCAGTACCGCATTTCGCGTTGACTGTTTTATTTTCAATTCACACTTCGATGTGAGATTAAAGTTTATAAATAGTTTTAGAAACTATTCTTCTCAAGCGTATTATGCTATCGATTTCTTCAATGTAGGCAAAAAGCAGTAAGTCAAGGCTAACTCCCAGGCCCGGCGGTTTTTCATAAATTTTTTTTTCGTTTTGTCTAGGATCCACTCGCACATGTTTCCTGTGAATAGAGGTGTTAGCCGATATATAAGTCGGCGGCGGCGGCCAAAAAGCTATTTAGCATCGGCGGCGGCGGCGTATGACTCATCAAAAAATTTTCAAATACACGTAGCGCTGTCCAGTTTCTGATGGAATGGGCTGATTTTAAGTTTTTATGAGTTGTTTACACATTCCTATAGTTTTTCCCTAGCCGAAGCCTCCAAATAGAACAAATTTATATCTCTTGCCAACGGATTGCCTCTTAGCATATTATCTCCGAAATTCTAAAGCACACAATAAAGGAGGACATTTTGATTCACTGTCGTCTGAATCTGACTACTATCGCTGAAGAAATTCCCTTTTCTCTCTCGTTCTCCTTTTTCTTCTTTTAAACTGAGGTATGTTTATCGAAATAACAGTAGAAACAGCAAGAGAGGGTCTGTGGGCCGTTTAAGAATGAGTTTTTGAGAAAGTGGTATTAAGGCGGGAGTAAACGTTCTCAGATTTGACTAAAATTCTCACCAAGGATGCAGGACGTCGTCAGTAGTACGCTCAGAAAATTTTACGTCGATTGGGCTCCTATTACTACCACTTTGTCTACTTACAAAATCGAAAAACAATAGGTGTATGAAAATGGTATATTACCCTTAACTCATAGGAAGTCTAACAAATGGTCACCTACAGAGATCCAAAAACGTGGTTTTCGAGCCCAAAACTGGCACTTCGTCCTCGAAGAAACGCACCTTGGAAAGTATTTATATCAGAATTTTATTCCCAGAAGAATCAGCATGGAATTTGGAGCAAAATGAAGTGTCAAAATCTATAAAAATGACAACGTCAATTTTCGATGATATAGCATGCCAAATGGCTTCTTATAGTGTTGGAAAATGAAAATGGCCAAAAAAGTTGGGCAGATATCTCATTTTTCTCCAAATTCCATGCTGATTCTTCTGGGAATCTAATTCTGATGTAAATACTTTCCAAAGTGCGTTTTTCCGAGGACGAAGTGCCTGTTTAGGGCTCCA